TGTTCCCAACTCAATCCAAACTGTTGGTACCTAGAAGGTGACCTTGGGTACCACACCTCTGCAGAAAGAATGTAGTGAAAGGTCTCCAGATACCAGTCTAGTTGGCGGGGCAGACCCTAAGCCCAATGATGAGCATTTTTATAAGAGAAGGCAGGAATGAAGCTTTGTGAGGACGGAGGCAGTCTGGAGGATAGGTTTCCAAGCCAAGGAATGCCAAGGGTTGCCAGCCTCCATCGGAAGCAAGGAGAGAGGAAAATACAGACTGCCTCAAACCCTACAGAAGTAACCAGTCGTGCCAACCCCTTGATTTTGAACTTCTGACCTCGAGAACTGTGGAAGAATAAAATGCTGTTTTGTTAAGCCACCAAGTTTGTGGTAGTTTGTCATGGCAGCCACAGGAAACTAATGCAGTCGTCCTGAGTGCCTGAGAATTCTGATTCATCACAGAGCTGAGCCACAGCACGGAGGACTGTGAACTGATACCCCCAGGTCGCACCCTTCCTGCCACCTTCAGACATGATCCAGCCAATGCTAAGCAGTGAGCAGGGAAGGGAAAGCCAATGTAAACTCGGCACCTGTGCTACTCCAAGTGCAGCCCAGAGTCCCCTAATTGAATGTGAACTTTGACCTCATTCTCTACTGGTGACAGCTGAAGGTTTGGAGAGGTCAGGTGACTTGAGCGTGCCACATGTCGGTGGCAGTGTCGGGATTTGAATGCAAGTCTGCTGATTCAAGCCTAAGCCTTGATCTTCTCTGGAATGCCCCAAGCCCTGGAAGAGTCTCGGTGGAAATCTGCCTGCTGTTCTGTTCCAGATGAAAGGCTGATGGTCAGCCCAGTGCTGAGGAGTGGCCAGACATTTTCAGGGCCAATTCCGAAGGAGCTGAGAGTGAAACCTGTTGATATTTGTGGTTTCAGTGACAGAGAGACAGGAACACATTTTCTTGCCACAGCTACTGTTGAAGTAAGAATGTCCTCTGGAAACATCACTGGGATGTCAGTAGAGGAGGCTTGACGGGGAATGCACAGTTTTGTACCTGAGGGTGGAATTATATAAAGCCTCACTTCCCAGCCCTGCGTTCAATGCTGGTCCTGATTAGAGAAGGAGCCGAGCCAGGAGGCTTCTGTTCTCACTCAGGCTCAGGATCTCTTCCAGAGGGAAATGTCCAGCCAGCTCAGGCTCCAGTTGGGCCATATTTGTTTAACAAGGTCATAACAGGGCCCAAGATCATTGCCTGGGCTCGGGGAAGAGAAGTGCTATAGCTCAAGGTATCCTGCACCCCCCCACTCACGCTGGGTTCTGCTAGGATACAGGCATCAAGTTCCAGACATGGGGAGCAAAGGTGGGTCCTTTAGGATGGAATTGGGGGTTACCAGTCCTATCCCCATTTTTATTAACTCAGGACTTTGAACACTGTCGGTAGTCAAGCTAGCATAGCTGCCTGTGTTCCCCAAACTTGAAATCCCAAGGACTGACCAATGTCCCTTGGCACCTGGTTCCACGGAGAATCTGCCTGAAAAGTGTTTTTCATCTGCATTTCTTTTATATCTCAACTACATACCTAGGGAGTCCTGGAACTGATCTGCCCTGAGGGTGCCAGTGCCTTTTCTGATATAACGTGGAAAGAGGACACGCTACTTAGAGGAAGGGTTAGACCATCTCTGTTTGGGAGTTTCCCCAAAGTGGTGGTCACCCTCACCATGGGAGATCCAAGGCCTGTGGATACAGGACAGAGAAAGACTGATCTGCCTATGGCTGAGGCTTCTTGGCAAGGTTTGGAATGGTGACAACCATGTTGGGAGAGGTATCCCTTCTGGCAATGCCAGGCTCCCCAGAGTGCAACATGATTTGTTGTTAAGAGCTGTGGGATCCTGCCCAGCAGCAGAGGGTATAACAGTCCCACCTGAGACTCTCCCCAAAGCTTCTTTAGAATAAAGAGTGTGGTGCATGCCTTGTTTGCCCATTTTCTGTTTGGTTTTGTTTGAGACAAAATCTTGTGCAGCCCAGGCTAGCTTTGAACTCCTGAGCTTCCCGCCTCTACCTTCTGAGTACCAGGGTGACAAGCACGTCCCCTACTACCACATCCAGCTGTGGTAGCCTCTTGTACAACCAAAGAAAGCAGGGCTCCCAGTAGCGCTTTTGCTGACCCAGTCTACAGAAGCAGAACTGGCATCCTGGCCTTCATTGCTGAGAGTCTGAGAGAGGCGGGTTACACGGGTGCCTTTTGTGGCGCACATCTCTGCTGTGCCACTCTGAGGAGAGCGGTCTACGTGGAGAGAGGATGGCAGAGGACGTGAGCTGCATTGTGCACGCTGCATGTGCCTAGTTTGGGAGCCTGTGTGGCCACGCATGTACGTGCCCGCACCTGGCCCCTCCTCCCAGGTGGTAGAGCTGGGGGCTGCTCTCCCTCTGAAGAGAAGGTTGCAGAGGAGCCAAACCACAGCCTGGGCTGTGGGGGTTTGATCTTCCCTCTGCTGCCAGAGATGAGAGAGGCCTAAGTGGCGGAGATTTACAGGGCCTGAGGGAGAAGTACCCTTCCCGCGAGAAGTACACATGAAAGCTCCCGAGTAATAGTTAAGGCTGCTGAGTGCGCCAATTATGCAACAATTAAAAGACTTGACTATCATTTCTTTCCCCTTTCATTCTCCCAGCCGCTCCCCCTCCTCCACATCTGCCTTCCCCTGCAGGCTCCCCGAGAAAATGCTCTGGGGAACAGAAGAGAAAGAACCCCCCCCCTTTTAATTGGAGATCAAAAGTTGGAAGAAGGGCTTGCTCTTTGAGGGTGGGAGGAAACAGGGTGTCGTAGACATGAAACCTCAGACGAAGGGCTAAGGAAGGAAACGGGAGAGGAGGGCATGGTTCTCTATATCTGCCAGTCTCTGCAACAACTTTATATAACCCAGTGACATTACGTTATAGATTAGAAAACTTGAGACTTTTTCTCAGGCAAATGGCTGAATGGCAAATGGAGTATGGGCTCCAGGCTGCTTGCTGCCAGGGGTAACCACTGGGCTTTTTTCTGTCTCCATACTGTAAAGATTGGAGGATTTTTTTTTCTCAAGTCTTGGTCTTGGCTTTCCCATCTGCAAGGTGGGCATAGCCTGGGGGCCTTGCGTGTTGATGCCAAGTCAGATGAAAGAGACAGTGGGTGCTTAGCGGCAGGCCTGCTCTATAATTCAGCCAGCAGCAGCTGCGCCAAATGCCCCGCACAGTGAGACAGTGGCTAATTGAGAAAGAGTTAGGCAGTGTGCCCCAAAAGTGAAGAAACAGCTGCTTGTTGACTTTTTTGAGGTGCCAATCCACACCCAGTATCTATGCCCCCATCCTCATCTGATTTCCCAGCAGAGCTAAACAGCCCCACATTCCAGGGTAGACGGTGGTGCGCTCTCTCCTTGCCCTGCTGTTGAACTGAGACTCCCCAGCACCACCCCAGAGCTGAGTTTCTCTAGGGAGTCTCCGAAAACCTAGCACACAGTAGGTTCACCCAGTTCACATTTGACCAGGTGCTAGGATAACAAGGCATTCTCCTGAGGACTTCTGTTTTCTCGTTCACACCCTGGTGTGCTCTGCGCACAGCTGGGATGGTAACCCTGGGAGAAACCATCATCTGGGAGGAACCGTGCAGCCTTCCTGGAAATGGACTTTCTCTTATGAAGACATAGAGATCTGGGTAGGCCTGTTCTCACTGTCAGGCCAGCAGCGACAGCTATGGAGAAGGTGCACATAGTCTAAGCCTTGCACAGTAGGGACATACTACCCTGCACCACACTCCTTGGTATACAGTTGGTGAAACAGCCTGGAAACCAAGAGAGCTGAGTCCCGCTCTGCCATTTCTCCTGCTGCACATGGAGCACAAGAAAGCAGCAGCCGTGTTCCTAGGAACCATCCCCACAGGAAATAAGATTGTGACCTAGGTATGAGTCTCTCATCTGTTTCCCCACAGAACCACAGATTCCGTAGCCAAGGCCTCTTGGGGTAGACTTTACACTGTGGTTCCCCCCCACCCCGGCATGTTGCTTCCCGGTCACAGCACATCTTCCAGAATTTTATCCCCTGCTGCTCTGGCCTCCTAAGACTCCCTCACCTCAGGAGCGATGTGGGGGAAGGAAGCTGAAAATGGGGGCTTGCTTATAACTGGAGAAGGAGCTCCAAGAGGAACTGTGATCAACTCCTGATGTCATAAGCCTTTCCTCACCCTCAGTGGCTCAGCCTGTGGTGACCTGGGGCCCTTCTCTCCCAGAGTCCTCAACCCCATGTCCTGTACTGGGTGGCTGTGGCAGCCAGTTCCCTCAGGGGAGCTGAAGACCCCAGCTGGCATGCCCAGTCACTCTTGCAGAGCCTGGCTGATTGTTTGCACAGTGGGGCCCACTCAGCCCGCTCTGCAGGGGCTGGCAGACCTCCAGAGGAAGTGATGGGAGGACGTGGGTGCATTCTGACCTTAACTGAATTCCTGGAGGATGATGTGTGAATAATATGGCTTTTTAAGAGTCAACAGCTTGGGTGCTTTTTATAGGCGGGCTGAGGTGCTGAACGGGCCATCCCCCCATTAATCACTTAGCTAGTTAGATCAGCTGGCGAGCAGTCCCGACATTATTCTGTGGTATTCCTCTTCCTTCTTTCAGCAGCCACCCGTAAGCAGACAATCAAAACTGCCATCAAGTCCGTCCCAGCCCTACCCCCAACCTCCCAGTCTCCGAGATTCATGTCCTAGTTCCTCTGAATCCTGTTAGCTTTTTCATTTCTGTGCATTATTTGATGTATCTGCTGGCAGGGGCCCTGCATTTCCACTTCCTGAGCCACTCGGAACCCCCACAGAGCCCCTTGTACCCACCGACAGGAGAAGGAATTTATACCGAGCCACATCTCGGAGAAAAGTCTCAGGAGGGGCACATGGATGAGAAGCCTGGGGTCAGATCATAAGCCCTTCCTAAGCCCACCCAACCCCTGTCACAGCTGTCAATCTCCAAGCGGGCTAGGACTTCCGCGGGGTCTCCCACTCACAGTGTCTCCAGATTGTGCAGCCCCTCGAAGCTGTGGGTCCCCACATGCTGGATGTGGTTGTTATGCAGATGCCTGTGTGGGAAGGAGAGACACGTCAGTATGTACGGCACGACCTCAGTGTCAGCCAGGGCAGAGGAGTGTCCACAGCAACAAGAGTAGCAAAGCGGAGGCAGAAGCACAGAATGCCCTCAGTGGTTTCACCCCTTTCCTCCAGGGACAAGCTAATCAGCCAAGAACCATTCCTGAAGCCACAATCACCAAGGCAGAATTGACCATAGGTTAGAGATACCTTTTTGTCTTGCTAGCAAAGGAACTGGGAAGAGGAAAGCCCTGGCCAAGGCTACAGCAAGCTCTGACTAAGCACTGGGAGAGAGGCCTGATGTCATAGGGGCTCACATCTGAGGCTTCTTCTCTGGCCCTGCTCCGTAGGACCCAGCCAGCCTGACTCAGTGGCCAGACGTTCATAGAGGAGCCAGCAGCAAACCGCTGCAGACAACATATAATTAAAGGCTAAGCTTTCTTACAACCGGAGAGAGCTGTGGTCATGCTGAGAGAACAGGGAGGTTGGTGAGGCTGAGGCAGCAAGGAAGGCCTGGCAGAGGCAGAGGTGGCGATCCTCCGCAGGGCCTTGACAGGCCAGCTGCATGGGCAGAGGGAAGGGATTCCAGGCAGAGACGGGAGGCGGGAAGGGGCATGGGCTATCTGTCTGTGCAGGCCTTGGCAGGAACAGCAGTGTGGAGGATAGAGGGAAGTTTGGGAGAGATTCCCAAGGGAAAGAGTTCACTGAAAGTAAGACGGATTGCCTTCTGCCCACGTGTGATTGATCAAAAACAATCAAACCAAACTCCACGACACCTGAAGTCTCACAAGAAGCAACAAAGTCAAGAAAGGCACACAGTCTTGGGTAGATCCATTGAAGACCTGCGGTCAATCAAACGGTTTGAAAGTCTTTGTCAGTCCTTAATCCAAAGAATAAGCAGATGAGAAAACAAAATCTGAGATTGCTCCCTAAAAAAATAAACCCTAGCTTGTGAGGACTAATCATGCAAGTTCTTGTTTTTCTTCCCTACTCTGTCCTCCAAAGGGAGCAGGTGAGAGAGAAAGAAAACCCAAGGCTTGAGGCTACTCATGGAGTAGGAAGCTGGAGGTGCCAGCCCAGGGCACTCAGCAGAGGGAGTGACTGCCACACTTAATACACTGGAGCAGAGAAAGCAGCCTAGGGAGTCTGCCCACAGCTGGCTACCACCTCAGATCTGGTGCCTCTCTCGCCCACCCCACTAGAGTACAGAAAGCAGGACAGAACCCGCCTACTTCTATGGGTGTAACCCACACACTACAGCTTGAAGGGGACAAGCAAGCTGGCCTAGAGATAATTGTTGGCCCAGAGCTTCGTGAGCCAGGGAAAAGAAGAGTGCCGGTGACAGAGGAAGGAAAGGATTGTAAGGGACAGCAGAGTTCCAAGTCCTGAAGAAAACACAATCAATGCTGGATGTGGTGGTGAAAACATGGAATCCTATCATTTTGGAAGTAGAGGCAGGAGGATTAGCAGTTTAAAGTTATCCTTGGCTACATAGTGAGTTGGAGGCTAGCCTGAACTACATGATTCCCTGTCTCAAAAAAAATGTACAATTAATGAATAAGGAATAGAAGGAAACTGATCACAATCACTTTCTGCTGCAAAACAACCTAAGTGACATTTCAAAGACAAAAAAAAATTAAATGAAAGGAAAAATTATATTGTAGGTTAAATTAGTAAAGCTAAGGGCCCAAAATTCATTATTAGCATAAATGATACATCATATATATTACATAATATATATATGCTAATCAATTTGAAACAAGGAACAGGGTGTGCAGTGGTGAGAGTTGACTTGTATCAGAAAGAAAACTGGACACAGTGCTGGAGAGATGACTCAGTGGTGAAGAGAACGTGCCCATTCTTACAAAGGACTGCAAGTCAATCCCCATCACCCACACTGGGCAGCTCAAAACCACCTGCAACTCCAGTCTCAGGGGATCTGATGCCCTCTTCTGGCTTCTGTGAGCAATGCATGCACGTGAGGCACATAACATATATTTGGGGACACACACACACACACACACATATATATATATAAAGATAAAGAAAGGTGGACACAATCAGGGTGGGCATGGCAGAGGGGAACAAAGGTTAAAATAGTTAAAAATCAAGCAACTTGGGGGTATGTCAGTAACTGAGTTCTCTTAAGGAATCCCGAACATGAGACCGAAGATACAATAATACAAAAAATTCTCTTGAAGAAAGAACAGTCTGCCCCTCAAAGGCACCCATTGTTCCAGGAAAATTAGATGCAGAACTTTCTACACTGTGGCATATTTGAGTTACGCTGTTAAAGTTCAAGAATTTACAAACATCTTTAGGCAGAAAAGGGAAATCACTTATGAGGGGTATAAAGCAGGCTGGCTGGCAGAGATGGTGCTGGGCTGTGAGGGCATTCAACCAAAGCCATCGAGCTAGGTGGGGAGGGCTGCCAGTCTCCCATCCCCCACCTGCTCCACCAGATCCTAGTAAGGAAGACAGACCCTTCCCCCAATTCAGGAATCTTCTGGAAAACAACCCTGGCCTTCTGAGAATAAGTTCTCTTCTCTTACCAAGGCTTTTTAATTTTTCCTATTTCCTTCACCCCTCTATCTTGACTGTCACCAAATGCCATTCTATCGGCTTCCCGGCACCTCTCTTCCTCCCCACTCAGCTCTGGTATAGACTATCTCAGCTTTCTGGATCTCTAGCCGCAGGCCTCTCCAGGTCTCCTTTCAGCTGAACTAACCAGTCAGCTCTAGAATCCTGACACCTCTAGTGGCCCAGCCAGGGACCTACGCTGGGTCTTGCAAGATTATATACCAGACGTTACTAAAGACATTCTGCGTTGTGTTCTTGCTACCAATGTGGAAAGAGTTTGTAAATGTCTGAGTAGCACCAGAGTGTGGGCCTTGTCTCTCCCATCACGCTCGCCTGCGTGTATCTCCTGACAGGCCCCCATCCACTCCTTGCATGTATGTTTAAGGGTGCCTCATCTCTCCCATCACTCTTGTCTGCATCTTCTCACAGACCCCATCCACTCCTTGCATTTTTCTGTCTCATTGTTTTGAGTCACGACCTCATTAAAAAACCCACACTGGTCTCTGACTTGCCATCCTCCTGCCGCAGCCTTCCAGGCTGGGGAATTACAGGCACAGACACACACCACATAGCCTATCCCTTGGTTTTAACTAACTTTTTTCTTGCTTCCTTTTGTGGTTATCTTTCCATATCTGCCTCCTGGGCTTCCCCACAGCGTCTCTCAAAGTCCCAGGACAACATCCTCCAGTCTTCTTTCCCCTTCAACCTCACCTCCCACTCAAAAGTTTTCCCTTCTCACACTGATGAAAGAGAAGTGATACTCCCTGCGCCTGGGACCTGGTTTGTTTCAGGTCTGCTCCTCTGTACAAGTTTTTCTCCTTTAGTCCCTTGTCCCTCAATGGGACCCCCACACCCTGTAGACCCATATTTGGCTTGAATTTCACGCCAGCTTCCTAACTTCCAACCAAGTCACCCATGGCTCCTTTTCAGCTTGGTCTTCCATCCCGTGAAGACCTCTGAAATAGATCAATTCTTCCTTCAACAAGCTCCTTACAGTTGCACCCACCCACTCGTCTTTTCTGCTGCCTCCTAAAATGAACTTTGAAACACCAGAGCCTGAGAACTAACTTTCCTGTCTCTGGTCTCCATGTGTTCCCGTCTGTCCTTTACTTTAGCTAGCCTAAAACAACCGCTTTTAATGGGTGCTTGAAAACCTGCGAGACTCCCTCCACAACTGGTAAATAAAGGTCATCATCTGTCCCCAAAGCTACCTGTTCAGCCTTCCCTCCTCTGCCCCACCCTCTGTACAAGGGCTCTGCTACAGCTGGACAGCCCCATTCACCCACAGCTCACAGTGCCTGGCTCCTCCTCCATGCCTTTAATGCTCCAGTTCTCTTTGCTTGGCCAACCCATTATCTCTCCATGTCCAGCCCCAATCCTGCCTCCCCTGTGATGTGTTCTTCTTACCCACCCATAGTTGTGTGGCCTCCTGCACTGCTCCAGTGCTATGAATCTGTCTTTACTACCTAAGCTATCACAGCAAAAGTCACATAACTGCCTTGGTTGTCTTTCCTCATAGGGGAAACTAGACTGTAAGCCCCTCCAGACCAACAGCTCTGTCCCATCCTTCTATGACCTTCAGCGCATGCGTGTGCGCGCACATACAGACACATTCACACAAGCTCTGTTGCCCATGTAGCAGAGACCCATCATAAAGTTCTCATCTTTCCAGTCATCTTCTCTGTCACAAAGACTCGACCCCATTCCCATGTGAGGTCACAGGGACATCACCAAAGCTAAAACCAACCCCACTGACTCCCAGAAGGGCAGAAGGTAGGGCCATTCTAGTGGAAGGAAGTACTACTCCATGGGACATCTGTGTTCACTTTCTAACTTCCCGAGACAGAACGATAGACAAATAAATCACTACCCACAGCTTCGTCTCTCACACGGAACGAAGCATCATCCATTCACGCTGACCTAGGAAACCGCACCAGATTTCCAAGAACAAAGGAGGCAATGCTGCCATTTAGCCGAGTCACTAACATATATGTTCCTGCAACAATTAGTATGTAACCCAGAGCAATTACACATGACCTCCAAGCCCTTAGTAATTAGACCATGAACTTACCAATCATTCATAGCAATTAGCTAGAAGCTAATTTGCACTGTAAAGTTCCCACTAGGAAGGCAGAGTTAACCCCAGCCCCTATCCCTGCCAGGGATGCTATCTCCCAGGTAATTACCCTGCTGGGGCTTTGACATCTAATTACATGTGATGGCCTTTCCTGCTTCTGTAGGCCTGCAAAACGAGATGGATTTTTTCCATCCCTATGCCAAGGCATATGGCTGCATCTTTAGGTTATCAAATGTGGTGGGAATTACTTTAAAAAAAAAACCCACCTCGATTTATATTCCAATTAGCTTGGGATGGTTATTATACTTGTACAGTGAGAAAAATAAAAGGACAAAAATGTTTCTGCTTTCTAATTATAATAATGCTTTGTCCCTGTAGTGACCTTCAGAATACTTCTCTGGGCTTAATGTCACGTCACCTGGCTTTGAGATCATCCTATGGAGTCAGCAAGTGATGGTCGTATTCATAATCTACAGAGCAGAAACTGAAACGAGAAGGCTTGACAACATGCAGAGAAGAGCAAAGCTCCTGGCCCAGCTGGAGGGAACATGCAGCCTCCCACCCGCCCCCCCCCCCACTGGCGGTGGGGACGCCAACAGCACTCACAGCACCACCAGGCTGGTGAGGTTCTGGAAAGCATAGTCAGGGATGTGGTGGATGTGGTTGAGAGCCAGCGTCATGGCCTGGAGGGCAGGCAGGTTGTTGAGGGCTCTGACAGGGATCTCGGTGAGTGCATTGTCATCCAACCAGAGGTGGCGGAGAGAGGACAGCCCCTCAAAGCTCCTCTCGGGGACCAGTGAGATGAGGTTGGCATCCAGGCGCCTGGTGGAAGGAAAAGAGGATGGAGGAGGATCAGTCCAATGTAGGTTGCAGATCAAGCTTTAGGATGAGCTGGGTTTGGAAAGCCAGGCGTCCAACAGGCACTCTGAAGGACCACTCTTCATGTACCCCACCTTTTCAAGTTCCCGTATTCCAACCCACAATTCTTGATCCTCTATGACATTCCTTTTTATGACCCCAACTGCTCCTCCCAGAGCCAACACAGAAGCCATCGCCCATCTGTGATGACTAGTATTTCCCCTGCATCCTTCGCTCCCTGCCCTGAGGATACCATTTCCCCAACCCTGCCCACCCCAAGGATATATAATGGACTTGCCCCCTGCACTGGCAGAAGGAAGATCTCCATCTTCTAGACAGAAGCAAAGAAAATTGCCTCCCTGAGGATGTACATCATTCTCTGTGATCCATCTCTAGCACCACCCGCTCCTTAAACCCTCAAAGAGGCAAACACTATCTAAGAGTCAGGGAGCTGGGACCCCTCTAGTCTGCCAGGGCTGAACTTTGCCCTCTTCAACTGCCTGCCTAATGGGTAAATTTTCAGAGCCATGGATTCTGGCTTCCCCGTGCAGGTGATGCCGCCTTCCCTGAAGTGAAAGTAACTCTGCAGTGATGACCAAGACATCACCAGCTGTCACTGTTTTCCTTTATAAGTACTTGTCATATGCCAGGTACAGAGCCAAGTCCAAGTAGGTGACCTGTGTCCTCTTACATGTCCTCTGACATGACCACAAGATGTGTCAGACTAGTCCACTTTACAGTGATTGGGCTGCTAAGTCACTCAACTTGTGAGTCAGAGATATGAGATTTGAACCCTAGTTTGTTGACACTTTAATCCATGTGCCTTCCCATTGTGTGAAGCTGGCAACCCAGGCACAGCAAGGGAGGTAAGAACCTGCTCACCTACTTAAGGAGACAGGAAATGGGACAGGATATATGTGTGTGTGTGCGTGTGTGTGTGTGTGTTAAGGGTTGCCTAGAGTGGACGGAAGTCACATAATAATAATAATTATTATTATTATTATTTAAAAAGAGCCGGGTGGTGGCGCACGCCTTTAATCCCAGCACTCGGGAGGCAGAAGCAGGTGGATCTCTGTGAGTTGGAGGTCAGCCTTGTCTACAAGAACTAGTTCCAGGACAGGTTTCAAAACTACAAAGAAACCCTATCTTGAAAAACCACCAAAAAAAAATATGTCAAATTTTGGGGCTGGAGATATGGCTCAATGGTTAAGAGCACTGGCTATTCTTGCAGAAGACCCAGGTTCAGTTCCCAGCACCCACATGACAGCTCACAATTGTCTGTAACTTCAGTTCCAGGGGATCTGACACCCTCATAGAGACATATATGCAGTCAAAACACCAATGCACATAAAAATAAAACATCTAAAATCTGAATAATAATAATAATAATAAGATAACTTGTTGTGCGTTTGTTTATGTATTCATTTGTATGTTTGTGGGCACACGTGCACACGTGTGGGGGTCAGAGGACAACTTTCAGGAGTCAGTTCACTTCTCCCACCACGTGGATCTCAGGGATCCACCTCAGGAGACTGAACTCGGGTCATCAGGCTTGGCAGCAAGTGTCCTTAACTACTGAGGTACCTTGCCAACCCCAGGAAGTCACTTCTCTGTGAGTGGTTTGTGTGAACACCCAAGTGTGCCTACACACATGCCTTGCACACTTCCATGTGTGCACCACAGTCCTGACCAGTTCATCTCCCATGGTTTGTGCAACCCACGGGCAGGAGAGCTTGGGTAGGCCCACGGCAACCAGGCTACTCATTTAGCATTTGAAGACTTCCTGGGTCTAGCATGTTTCAACCTCATTTAGACAGGGTTCCTTCTCGTCACCTCCCCGGGAAGAACAGATGTCAGGAGCCTTCAGGCCTCCTTCTCCTCAGGCAGAAAGCCAGAATGCCTCCACAGGTCACCCATCTCCCAGAGTGTTACGGCAAAGCTGTTCTAGGCCTTGGGAGAACAGGTGTTTGTAACCCTGTTCCTTATACTTGGGGACAGGGAAATGCCAAAGTGGAAAATCAAGCCAATTGGCAAGCTGAGAAAAATAGGGCAAGAACACGGAAATGATCATTCTAGTCTGCATTCCTGTTTGGGTGGTGAGGGAAACCACACATTCCACCCACGCCAGCAGGGCTCTGTGATGGAGCAGACCCAGCGCCAATACTGTTGGGTATGGTGAATTCAGACACATGCTGCCAGCTGGGTATGGTGGTACACACCAGAAATACAAACACCTAGAGACAGAAGCAGGAGGAACAAGAATTCAAGGCCAGCCTGGGTTCCATAATGAGTTCAAGGCAAGCTTGGGCTTCGAAGTGAGACCCTGTCTCACAAACAACAATAACAGCGTATATGCTATCCAAAAATATTTTTCAAACTTTTTTTAAGATTATTTGTACAATGTTCTGCCTGCATGTATGCCTGAAGGCCGGAAGAGGGTGCCAGATCTCATTACAGATGGTTGTGAGCCACCATGTGGTTGCTGTGAATTGAACTTAGATCCTCTGGAACAGCAGTCAGTGCTCTTAACTGCTGAGTCATCTCTCCAGTCCTGCTATCCAAAAATTTTAATTTCATGTAAATGAAAAAATAGCAAAAAAAAATTGTCCCATGAAGTATTTAAAACCATGCCTAGTAAAATTTAAATATCAGATAAAGGAAGAATAGCTTTTTAGTGTAAGTGTGTCACCAAGTGGCAAGATTATTTATGGGGGCATAGAGATGGCGCAGTAGTTAAAAGCACATCCTGCTCTTGAAGAGGGGCTGAGTTTGGGTCCCCTCACCCATGTCAGGCAGCTCACAATTGTCTGTAAGTCCAGCTTTAAAGGGATCTGATGACTCTAGTCTCTGTAGGCACCAACAATCACACACACGCACCCACACAAGTCTCACACACACACACACACACCATCTAAAAATGAAATAAATCTTTTTTAATTTTAGATTTATTTATGTGTGTGAGTGTTTTGCCTGCATGTAAGTGGATTACATGCATGCCTGGTGCCCATGGCGGTCAGAAGAGGGCGTCAGGTCCCCTAGATTTGGAGTTAGGGATGGTTGTGAACCATGTGAATACTGGGAACTAAACCTGGGTCCTCTTCAAGAGTAACATGTGCTTTCAACTTCTGAGCCCCAATATGATAAATCTGGAAAAATATTGAGTTTTATCTGACAACTCTGATCCTGTATGGATCCTCTCCTTTTAGCCTATGTGTGGCACTGGCATCCTCCGTTGTCCCCCCTCCCCGTTTTCTTCTGTTCATTTAACAGATAGCCTATCTAGGGGCGCTCTGGGGACCCAGGGAGAAACAGGGCACTTGGCAACCGTAGGTCTTGGAGGCTTTGACTGCAAGGATAAGACACGGTGTTGTGTTAAGTGACTCAAGGCATCCAAAGGTGTGGGGGAAGACGGTCCCAGAGAAGCACAGCAAACTGACCCTAATCTCTCCCCTCTTTTCTTTCCCCTCTTTTCCCCAACCCTCACCCTGCCCAGGATCATCTGGTTGGCACCCTGCTGCAGAGAAATCTCTCCCACTCTTTCCTCACCTGGTTCCTTCATAAGATGGGCACTTTCTGCAGAAACCCTCCCAGCCACTTTGGGGCAGGGTTCAGGCTCCTCTGGGGCGCCTAGTCCACAGGGGTAGGGCATCTGGGAGTGAAAGTGGGTATTGGGGACTCCTGTACAGCCAGTAGAACCTGCCTCTGAGGACTAAGAACTTTCAGAGCTGCTCCCGCCCGCCCGCAGGTGGGCAAGCCAACCCCGACTCTGGTTTGGCAGGCGGAAGAGAGCAATTATACCAATTAAGCGCTGGAATAAAATCAACAGCGCGCCTCTCCCCCACGTGGGCCTGGCCCCTCCAGTGCTTTCCGATTAGAATTCTTCCCTGCGGTGATAGGGCAGGCCAGTTGGGTCTTGTCTGGGCTTTGGGGAAACGTTTAACATCTCCAGGGCCTGCTGCTTTTCCTACTCCTCAGCCTCCTGCTGAGGTAGAGGCAACAGACTGGGGAAGAGGGTCTAGCTCCAGGACATCTCCGGCACAAGGGGCATGGCTGTCCCACGACCAAAGGGAGTAGAGGACCTAACAGGGGAAAGGTTGTAGCTGAAGAATTCCAGATTGGACACCCAGAAACAGTTCACAAAGGGTGGCTCGAACTGGAACTGTGTAAGCTCCGAACCACATTATATGGGGACCGGAAGGATGCTGGCCTCTCTCATGTCACACCAGGATCTTATAAACCCTGTCGAGGGAAATGCCACATGGAGCATTATCAAGTCTGGAACTCGAATTCAGGGCTTCTTCCTGCTGACTCCCCCAAAGTGATGAGAGGGGTTTGGGATGTGGCTGGTTGTAGAGCACTTGCCTGGCATGTACAAAGCCCAGGGGTTCAGTCCCCAGCACCATGTAAAACTCATGGTAGGACACACCTGTAATCCCAGTGTTCCAGAAGTGTAGGCAGGAAATCAGTTCAAGTTCATTCTCAGCTACATAGTTTGAGGTCAGCTTTGGTTACAAGAGACCTTGTCTCAAGTAAACAAAAGGAGGTGGATAGATAGGTGGATGGATGGATGGATGGATGGATGGATGGACGGATGGACGGACGGACGGACGGATGGACAGACAGGCAGATAACAAAAAGTGTGACAAGAAGGCCAAGACGTGTCTCTCAGCTGTAGGAAACCGGAAGCTCTTACAGACACAAGCGAGTAGATAGATATAAGGGAACCTTTCTGGAACTTTCCTCTACGGGCCTCTAGCTGGCTGACGCATGAAATCTCCAGAGATTCTTAATAGGTTTATTAATTTTTAAAAAATGTCCATAAGGGTTTTGCTTGCATGCATGCATGTTCGTCATGTGTAGACAATGTCCACAGGGGTCAGAAGAGGGCATCCGATCCCCTGGAACTGGAGTTGTGGGTGACTGTGAACCACCACATAGATGTTAGGAACTGGATCTGAGTCCTC